TGTCTCCCTCTCTCTCTGCCCCTCCCCCGTTCATGCTCTGTCTCTCTTTGTCCCAGAAATAAATAAACGTTGAAAAAAAAATTTAAAAAAAAAATAAATAAATAAACGTTTAAAAAAATTTAAAAAAAATAAACATTAAAAAAAAATTTTAATTGCCCACTAAAGTAACTGAGCTCATAGGGAAAATTGGAGAAGTCCAGTCAAAATGTGTAACCAGAAAACTAACAAAAGCAGTAAGTGATACTGTGTGAGGAAGAGTAGACAGCCCGGGTAAATACCTGAGTGGCTGGAGACTATTAAAAAATGCACACCCACACCCATAAAGAAAGAGTTGAAAAGCTGGCTTGCAGTTCTGAAATAACATAGATGGAAGTAGATTTCTGAGCCAGTGAACCTCCTTCCCCTTCCTATATTACAAGTATCTCTTCCTATATTAATTATTTTATGAAAATAGGGCTGAAAAGGCCCCTGCCGTAGCCAACCTAGAATTTTTTCTTTTCCTGCTGAAGTTCATAATTCTAATTCTTTCACTTAGGAAAAAAATCCGTGTGAACCAACACACCATTCACATTGCTGTGACATTACCCCATTCACCAACTGAATATGATGACTAATGCTGTTGAACATGCGCTGTAGCAGGACAGAGTACAGAATTCCAACCCCAGCTGCTCACCAGCCATGTGGAATCTCAGCTCCCATTGTGGGCTGGCCCTTCCACTTGTGGCCTGGATCTCACCTCCACTTGCCTTCTCAAGGACTCAACTCCTACAATTTTCCCCCTTTCTCTCCTGCACCATCAATTTCTCTCTCTCTACAGTGTCTATGTATTCCATTGACATGCTGATAATGCTTTTCTATTCCCCTTGTCCCCTGCCAGTGACCATTCTATCCCTTAGTTCCTCTTCACAAGCAGAACCTCTCAAAAAGTTGTCATTACTTAGCATTGTCTGGTGACTGATCATAGCTACATTGAGCATAGCATAATGTATAAACTTGTCGGATCATTCTGTTGTACACCTGAAACTAATATAACGTTGTGTGTCGACTATACCTCAAAAAAATCCCTAACATTTGTGGTGACTCTTTGTCTCTTGTTCTTCACCCCCATTCACTCTTGAGCACTCGTTCCCTGCCAAGGAACCAAACCAGCTCTCAATCATCAGTGACCTCTCTCTCTTGCCAAGGTTCATGGTCATGTCTCTGTTATTTCACTTGCTATCTCAGCAGCGTTTGACATAGTGACTAACCCATCTTTATTAAAAAATTTTTTTCTACAGACTTTTGAAGCCCCATACTCACCTAATTTTTTTCTTTCCTTACTGGGAGCTTCTTTTCAGTTTCCTTTTCAGTTTCTGGCTCTTTTTCCCCTGCAAGCTCTCTAAATAATGAAGGGTCCAGAAGTAGAACCTTGGCTCTTTATTTGGTTGGTTGGTTGTTTTTATCTGCACCTTCTTCCTAGGGGGTTGCATCCAGTCTCATTGGGTCAGATGACTTCTTAAAGCTGATAAAAGCAAATTTATTTCTCCAGCTCAACCATCCTAAGTCAGGAATGGTATCTCAAACTAGCTATTTGAGACCTCCACTTTGATGTCCAAAAGGCACCATAAATTTAATAAAATATTGATTAATTCCCCTAAAAAGGTTTGAGGCTTTCTAGTAATGACATTTAGTAATGACATTTAGTCCCATGTCAATAATGTCATCCCATCTACCCTGTTGATGGAGAAAGAGGGGAAGGAGGGTTAGGGAAGGGGAAAAATAGTTTTCTTCCTTAATTTCTCCTTTCCCTTACATCACACGTTTAAATCTAGGCTCCACCTGGCAAATATGTCCAGAACTCATCCACTTATCACTGCCTCCACTGCTGCAACCATAGCCCAAGCCACCAGGATCTCTTTCCTGGGCCACTGAAACAGTCTCCTGTCTAGTCCCCATCCTTCCAGTTTCCCCATCCTGTGCACATCAGCCAGAATGATCTTTTCAAAGCTAAAATCCAGTTAAATTACTCCCCCTTCTTCGAGGCTTCCAATGACCTTCCGTTACAACCAGAATAAAACCCCACATTTATCATGGGGGCCTACAATTCCCTGCATGATTTGGCCCATGCACACCAGCCTTTTCTCTGCCTCTCAGTCACATCAAATTCATCCCATTCTTAGGGCTGTCCCTCGTACTGTCTTTCAACTTGGAACATTCCTTCTTGTCCTTCAGGCTTCAACCCAAATAGTCCTCAGAGAGGCCACCCCTGACTTCCCCATCTAAAGCAATCTTACCATTGCTCTTTATTATATAACCCTATTTTATTTCAATGACATTTTAATAGTACTTAAAATGATCCTTTTTGTTTATTTGTTTATATGCTAATTGCCCGTTTCCCTCTGTGAGATTGTACGTACACTCCTTGACAGCAAGAACCCGGCCAGCTGGTTTACTTTCGTATCCCCAAAGCCTAGCAAAGTGGCTGGCACATAAAAGCCACCCCCTTAAATATCTGTTGATTAACTGACTAAATTAAAAAAAAAATACTCAGGGTCAGGTTCATTTGTCCTTTTTCCCTATACTTACCTGTAACCAATACTTCTTAGTTTAATCTTACTCTGGTGGCCTCTAAAGCAAAGAAAAAGGAAGATATAAGAATGATTCATTACAGATTGAAAGCTTTCTTCATTTCTAAGATAACACTGTTATCTCTGAAGTTAAGTCCATAAAATTCTAAGGAAAATTTGGGGAAAAAATTACTGAATTTTCATGGTCTTCACAGTTTCCGAACTTAGGTATCGTAAATTTTGTGGGTCTCAGTTATGCCAGCTTGTCTTATTCTGAAGTTTATTGCCCTTGCCTTACAGATGATAGAACCGTTGGTCTGAATGATTTGATGAATGCTGTCACTTGCATAAAGGGTAAGTTCCAAGCTGTGATAAAAGGATATTGTAAATAACATCTTCATATTTTATAATTGGTAGAGAATAATATTTCCCCTTCACATATGTTTCAGTTCTTTCATATGTGTACTTTTATGGATGCTTCTGAACTTGGGCAAACAGTTAATATGTGTAGTTAATATATAGTTAATATGTGTTAACATATAAATTCCCATAATATTCTCAGTTTTCCCCCAAAGAGTTCTTTACCACAGTAAAAGATCAAGAGCCAAAGAAACATTCCTTTTCTCCATGAACCCCACTCCCAGAAATTTATCCTCTGGCAATAATATAGCTGAATAAAAGAAAAAAGTCTCTACCCAAAGACCTTCAGAGAAATTTGAAACAGCCTAAATATCTAACAGTAGAGGAATGACTACATACACCCTGGCCTATTAGGCCACTGAGATATCACGTGTTGAAATTAACTGTAAAGATTACGTGGTAACTTGGAAATATGTTAACGACATAATATTAGGTTGAAAAGCAGAATACAGAACGGTGTGGATATTAGATTTCCACGTAGTAAAAGTACAGCCTTATTGTCGGAGTCCAGAAATGGAATATGAAAAACTACAAATCGTTTTGTGGTAGGGTGGCAGAATTCTATTTTTCCCCTTTTATATTAATCTTTAACGTTGCTGCATTCTTTTTACAGTGAATGAGGAAAAATTACTTCTGTGTTGAGATGAATAAAATTCTTGGAATGCATAGTGATCACAGAAGCAAGCTACAAGCAAATATTTTCAAATGAAAATAAAATTTTTAAGACTGGTCTATAGAAACACACTGAATTTTCTTTTTTTTTTATTTTTTTATTTATATATGAAATTTATTGTCAAATTGGTTTCCATACAACACCCAGTGCTCATCCCAAAAGGTGCCCTCCTCAATACCCATCACCCACCCTCTCCTCCCTCCCACCCCCCATCAACCCTTAGTTTGTTCTCAGTTCTCAACAGTCTCTTATGCTTTGGCTCTCTCCCACTCTAACCTCTTTTTTTTTTTTTCCTTCCCCTCCCCCATGGGTTCCTGTTAAGTTTCTCAGGATCCACATAAGAGTGAAACCATATGGTATCTGTCTTTCTCTGTATGGCTTATTTCACTTAGCATCACACTCTCCAGTTCCATCCACGTTGCTACAAA